GTATCAATATATCCACCATTATTTTGTATAAATAGAATTTAACAAATGATTCATCAATTAAAACATCAACAAGACAACGTGAAAAATACTGTTTTAACTTTAATTTCATTATTTCTTGTAATTCTGTTATATTTCTTGATTTTAATAAAATGATTTTAAATAAACTCTAAATGTAAAATCCATTTCAGTGTATATCTAATCAATTTATTTAGTAATTCCATTTCATATATTATAAATATAAATATTTGAACAAAATCATCCATCACACCAATTATTTTTATTCTCATGATTACACTGAACCATATGTTATTCTGAAATATCATGTATCTTATCATTACCATCTTTCTCATTTCTTGTTCTTCTTTCAATTATTCGAATTGAACTGAATGTATAACATGAAACACATTTCAATTCTTCTCTAATTAGTGTTAATTTTCTTCCTTTTCTTATTTCAACTGATTCTTTTGATTGGATATTCATTTAATTAACTTCTCTTCTTCTTCACCAATTATTTTAATTTTAACATATTAATATATTTGTCATTCATCATATCAGAAAATAGTCAATCTATAGATAATTTAAATGTTTCTCTTCTATTGAAATAACAAACAAATACAATATTCTATTGAATAATGACATTCTTTTTAGTGACTCAACTGTAATGAAATGTTTATTTTGTTGTTGGTACAATGTATTGAAATTAATTAAATATATAATATGAAATAACAAAATGAAAATGAATATAGATTATATTTTCTATTCTTTTTGAGTTTAAACACAAACATTTTTTGAAATAATGAAACGTCGAATCAAAATGAAAAATATACAATGAATAATAGTTCATGATGAGATTAAGTAAAGAATTAAAACATGTGTTTAAAATGTTGATTGAAATTAATATAACTCATTTATCTTTAACGAAAATAAATAATCATTATAAAAATAAAATGATAAATTTGATATAATATTTTAATGTAACATAATGAAGAATGATAAATGTAATATATTTTAAATAAAGAAATTAATAAATGATAAAAAGACAAATATTCATTTTGCCATTCTTCATTGATAATATTATCTTTAATATTTCTATTGACTTGATTGAAGATATAAATGAATAAAAATGATTAGATGAATATTTAATTAATTAAAATAATTAAAAAGATGTTAGGTTGTGTATATTTATAATTATAAATGATATTATCTATTTATACTCAATCAGTGTTATTCATTCTATATTTTTATTGTATTATTTTTATGTTATTCATTTTGATATTTTATCAATTTATTTAAGTAATGAAATAAAGAATAAAATATCATTATATATTATCATTCATTAAATTTAATATTCATTTTATTCTTTTATATTATTAATGTTATTGAATTGATTATTTATTTCATTTTAATTGTTTGATGTATGAATATTTGTCATTCATATTTATTTTTGTTTATGAAAAAAGTGATGAATGATATTTCAATAAGAAGAGAAATATTATAACATTAAAAATGATTAATAAAATAATTTAATATGTAAATTAATAAAGAATACAGTAATGTATTAATTGAATCAACACAATAAATCAAAATGTAAATAAATGAAATATTCATATAAAAGAATTAAACTTATTACATTATTCTTTCTATTATTTGTAAATTTTATCATTATATATTTCTTAGAATATTACTCTTTCATTTTTATTTATTCAAATGAATAATACAAATAACACATAAATAAGAATGATGAATAACAAGAATAAAAATGAAATATAGAAATACAAATAATAATTCATTTCGGCAACGAAAAAAAGCAAATAATTGAAAAAGAAGAGAATGAATGATATAAAAGAATAAAAAGAAAGTAAGAAGTAGAATATGATGAAGAAAGAATAAAAGTAGAAATGAGAGAATATAAAAAGAAAGAAGATAAAGTGTAATAAAACAAAAGAGATGATAAAAGAAGAAAAGAAAGAAAAAAATAAAGGATGCAAATTTTATTTCAACAAATAAAAATCAATTAATTAAATATTAATAGAACTAGCTTCTATTCTTCCTGGCTCAGCGGAGACTAATCCCATCCCTTCATCTTCATTCAGCTTTACGGAGTATATTTGGTTGTGATTGAAGTAGTATTCCATGACATCTATCATGTTTTTATTACAATGTTTTTTACTTCTTTCTCGATGTCAATTTCAATTTTTAATTCTCTGATTAATCTATTATATTCTTTGTTTATTAATCCATTTATTTATTTGAAATTACTACTGGAATTATTTTGACATCTTTTAACTTTTCTATTTTCATTAGAATATTCTTTAATTCTTTATACTTATTTCTTTTCTTCAAATAGGCTCCATTAATATTGTGATCAGCCACAATAATCATATCAAATATTAGACCCGTTTTGTTCTTTTTATCTAATACGTATATGTCTGGTATTTTGTGATATTGTCATTCACTTTTAGGCATTATTTGTTTGTTCCATATCATTGTGATGTCTTTATATTGGAACACTGTTTCATAAGGGGGTTTTTTATATTGTTTATTTCCTGTGTATTTTCTTATTAATCAATATTATAATACCAATATTGTCATGTTTTTCCATTTGTGATTTTTTATGACCAATACAAGATAGTAAAATGTGTTCTACTGTTGCTATTTTGTCTTTACAAAGTGTTGAGTATTTTAATCTTTCATTTTTCATTATTTTTGCTTTTTTATACCCACAAAATATTGCACCATCTTGCATTTTAGTTAATTGTAGAAATGCATTCTTTTTAATATTGGTGTACTTCCATGCTTTCACTGTAGTAGTTTTATCTACTCCTTTTGACTCGAACTATCTTCTGAAATATCCACTAATTTGATGACACTTCCATTTTTGATGTATTTATCATTAATTTTTTTATTTCTACTACTACTTCTTTTTCTTTTTTCTTTTCAATCCCTTCATTTATTATTTCTTCTATTTTTGTTTCTGGGATTTTATGAATTAGTGTTTTTTTAATTCTATTCCTTATTCCTTTCTTACTGTACCATCTATCTAATATGTTATTTCTTATTTCACTTTCTCTGGTACAGTAGTACATCACTGTTCTAATTAATTCAATAACATATTCATCATTTATGTTTATTAATCATTCATTTCTTCTATAATGACATACAACCGATCTTTGGAGTTGAATCACTGTATTTTGCCTTTCATAAATATTTTCTTATCTCCAAATCCATTTTATCTAAGTGACTTTCCAATTTACAACTGATGCTGAATATCTGAAGATATTGATTACTTCCGTGTTTATTCTAGTAATATATCTTCTATTACTACTTTCATCACTGTTTATTTCTTCCATCTTCTGATTCATTTTTTCTTTGATGGTTTTACAATTGAAGGTGTCATCAATTTCGTCGGACTGCCATATTCCTAAATATTTATACAAGTCATCATATTCAATTACATTGATGTTTTACATTCCATCTGGTATTTTCTTAATGTTTTTTAATACCATTACTGACTTTTTCTCATTCATTTCCATCCCTATTCCACTTATTATTTCTTTAATTTCATTGTGGATTATTCCCATTTCTTCACTACTTTCTGTCATTATTCTCAATTCATCCATATATAATGTGTGATTTGCTTTTGGGAATTTCTCTTCGATGATTTGAGAAATTACATTCATCTGAATGATGAAGAGTAGATTTGATAAGGAATCATTTGTAAAATTCCTCTATTTAATTTAATACATCATAGATATTCATTAAATTTATAGCCGATGAATATCTTCCATCTAGTCATCATACTTTCAATAATGTCAATGATGACACCCTCTACATTAAAATATTTTAATGTTTCAAGTACTCATTCGTGGTTTACTGTGTCATATAATTTCTTAATGTCATAATATGACTCATCATATTTTGGGTATTTCTATTCTTTTTGCTGCTTTAACATATAACTATTAATTATTCATTCTTTAGCAGCTAAAGATTGTAACTTACATCCCAATTAATTACTACTAATTTTAAATGATTCACAATTCATGTTAAGTCTTCTGTGAATCTTTTCTTTTAATATGGAGGTAAATACATTCATAATTACATTTGTACAACTGATATGACGATAATTAGTGACGTCGTTCCTATCACTTTATGGAAAAGGATGTTAAAACAAAATAAATAAATAAATAAAAATTGTTATTCTTTTTGTTAATAAAAAATGTGTTATTAAATCAAAATTGATTTAAAATCAAAAAAAGGTTAATTAATGTTTTTCACTTAAAATTTTTTGATATTATTTGAAGAAAGAGTATTTTCTTATAAATGAAATTAAAAAAGAAAAAAAGAAACAAAATGATATAACCATAAAACAACATGTCAACAGCATTGAATGAAATTCCTATCAGTACTCAACTTGTTAAAATTATTGACTATATTTATCGTAAAGGATTAGACACCCCTTGTATGTTATTGGTAAGAGGAAATGATAAAGAAATGATGGAAATCAAACACCTTTTACATAATGGAGAAAGTTTATGTGGCAAAAAATACAATGTACATTCCTTATGTGGGTTATTGGTTTCACAAATTAATTCAGTTCCACCTATAATTCCAACAGAATTTACTACTCAAGGAATGACAATGGAAAGTCGTGACTTTTGTTCTTTATTATACAAAAAATTACCAACATATAACTTTAACACTTTTTATTATATCCTTTCCTTCCTTAGAGAATTATTAGTTCATGCAGAAAAAAATGGACTTACTTCTGATCAATTAGCTCAAATGGGTGTTGGTATGTTTGTTCCCCAAAGAGATCCTTATTGTTCACAAACAACTCCAGTAACAGAAAAATATACATCTTTTATAAAAGATGTTTTAGATTTAAATTTAATGTGAAATATTATTAGGTTTTACCTTTTCGGATAATTTAAATAAAATAATCACTCACAAACTACAAGACAAATAAGTCTTAAAAGAAAAGAATGAAAAGACAAGTGATTTTAATGGTCAAAAACAGAATTAATCTCAGAATCAAGTCGTTGATATTCATCATTCGATTTACTAAATTGTTGAGGTAGAGAAGGTTGTTTGGAGAGTTTTTGAGTTGAAACAAGTTTCTGTTTTAAAAGTATTTTAGCTAATGTTTCAAAGAAGTCTTGAATATTTTTACCAGAACGAGCTGAAACTTCAAAATAATTCACTCCAAGTCTTTTTGCCAAATCAATTCCTTCTGACCTTTGTACTACTTTTTCCTTTTTATCAGCCTTTGAAGCAATAATAAATTGGACTTTAGGATCTGAATGGCTCATTCCAAAAAATAACCACCCTTCAGTATCTTCAAATGATTTGTAGTCATCAAATGAAAATACTGCAACGATGGCATCTGCTTTACCAATGAAAACTGGTGAATCAGTTAATATATCTTCTTTTGGACTATGATAAAGGTCCATAATAACACTATACTTTATACCTTTTTTCCCTGTTAATTCAATGGTTGTTGTATCCTGTCGATGTTAATGTCATTTTACATACATTATTATAACATTAAAAATCAAACAAATAATGCAGTTGGTTCTTTTACATGAGCATGGAACTCTCCTGTAAGGTGTTTATTAACAATAGAAGTTTTTCCAACACGATGGTTTCCATAAAACACAACTTTAAATCGATACTGATTTTCCATGAAATGATAAAACGATAAATAAATGTTTAATTGATCTTTTCTTAAAAAGAAAAAATTATTCAATATTAATTTTATAATTTCAAAATACTATTTACTCTAATATTATAGAAACGTTTTACTCTATAAACATAAATATAAGAAAATATAATAAACGTATTAAATAAAATTATTAATAAATAAATTATTAACGTCTAAAAATAAGGTATATGAATTTGTTAATATGTTTTTGGTTTTTTTTACTTTTAATCATCTTCACTGTTATTAGAAGAAGAAGAGAGTGTAGATGATTCACTTTCTTCTTCCTTTTTCACAATAACCATTGGTACTTCAACGTCAGATTTTTGATCAGATTCAACTTGTGTAGGTTTTGTCTTAGGACTACCTTCAAATAATTCTGAAGATGTTTTTTCTTTTTGGTCCTCACTATTTTCTTGACCTTCTTCTAACATTTCAATACCAATATCTTCTCCTACTCTTTTCTTTCTTCTTATTTCAAGAATTTTTGTCACTGCCATCAAAGTAATACATAGCACAATACCAACAACTTGTAATACAATACCTTGATAGAGTGCATACCTTCTATCATCCATTGCAGTGGCAAGAAGCCCAGCAAATAATGGACATAATGAACATGTTAACTCTCCAACACATTCAGTCAACCCTAAGATTTTACCTTTATTTTTTGGTGGTGAACTAACAGAATAAACAACAATTGATTGAAGTTCATATCCAGAAATAATTCCTATAACAACAGCAAATGCACATAAAACCCATCCATTTCTAATAAAGACCATTCCAACACTTACTCCAGCAATAATTATTTGAACAATGATATTAAGACTTAAAACGTATTGCCAATGATGGAATAAACCAAGTACGAAGAAGGTAATTGTTTGACTAAAATAAATAATTCCAAGAAACACACTAGCAAAAGTAGCAGGGTCATCATTTACTCCATTTAAGACAATATTATTTTCATCAACAAAGTCAATGTATTGATTACCAAATACAGCAATTGTACCATAAACAGTGAAATGAATAACAAGATTATTAAAATAATACATCATAAAATAATATGGAGTATATGTTGGTTTAGGTTGTTTCTTTTTTTCTGATGAGTTATTCTTCTCATTCTTTTCTTCTTTTGTAACATTTTTAATTTCATTTGTTTCATTTGAAGATTTTGGTTGTTCTTCACTTTCATCTGATGAAACTGATTTACTATTATTAAGTTCTTCAATATCAACTGAAATATCTGAAACACTCTCATGTCCTTTGACATTCTTTTCTTTTTTTCTTAGAGCCTTTGCTTCACTACGGGTAATATCACTTCTATTTCTTGGCATTCTAGGGAAAAGAACAAAAGAGATTAATGAAATGAATGATGAGAAATACAATGAAAATGTATTTCCAAAAGCAGTTTTCATTGGTCCACTAACACAAAATCCAATAGCCTTTCCTAATGACCACGAACAAGCAAATCGTGAAATAACTTTGTTAACTTCTCCTTTATATGCTTCTTCAGACAACATAAATTCACAAATTGACCAGAAAAATGCAAGAGCAAATGATTGAAGTATTAAAATAAAGAAAATTGGAAGTAAAAGTGTTCCTTTAATATAATATAAAGCAATGCAAATTCCAGAAATGGCTTGTAAAACAAAACCAATTCGACAAATATCTGCTATTGGAAACCATTTTTTATTTAAGAATAACCCAATGATGGGACATAACAATCCACAAATCCCAAAAGTAACCGCATCTGCTAAACCAATTAAGAAAGAACTCGCACCATTTTCTTTCATTAATAATGGAATAATTAACCAACAAAAATATGTTGCCATATTAATAGTAAATCCACCAATGAAGTAATTAGGAATATTAAGGAATTGAATAAACGATTTTATTTTTTGTGTTGCGCTCATTCAAAAATTTTATTTATAAAAAAGACAGATGAGGTTGATAAAGGAAGGGATTTTTACACAGAACAAATAGAATGGTTTGGATGTATTTTCCGAAATTTAGCGAAGAGTGGAGAAGAAGAGAGAATTTTGGGAATATTTTCGTTTATAGAAAAATATATAAAATAGAAGAGAAATTTATTAGTGAAATAGAAAAAGAAAAAAATAAGAAGACAATAAAACAATAAGGAGAAACTTGTTTTTTTTATTTTCTATTAATTGATAATATAAATGTTCTTCTCTTATTTGTAGGATTAAATGAAATAAAAAGAAAGTAAATTAATCTTGTAATGATTTATTCATACAACATTTTTAAGAAATGAATAAAATATTTGTCTCTCAAAAACGAAATTAATGCAACTTCTTCTTTACTACAATCTCTTTTGTGGATATCTTTTTTTCATTAGAATAGACTAAACTATTTAAGTATAGCTAAACTAAAAAGAAGTTATGTCAAAAGAATTTACGGGGATAAAGCTTATAACTGAAGACTTATTTACTGAACCAACAAATAAAAGTTATAAACAAGAAGATGAGTCAAATCTTTTTTATTCTCACAAATCTTATTTATCAACTGAAAGTGATTTTACAAGCCCTTCTATTATATGTACCCCAATCCCAAAAGAATATAAGGTGATTAATCTTCTTAATAAAGGGGTATTGAACATTGTTGGTAAAGTGGCTTATCATGAAGTTTATTCTAAAGTTAATAAAAATAATACTGTTGGTGAATTTAAAAAACTTGGTTTTTTAAAAGAAAAGTTTAGAACTCCTGTAAAAAAAGATTGTGGTTTAAGGACTTTATTTCCTGAAGATGAAGAATCAACTCATTGTGAGTCTGACAGTGAGTTATCAATAGAAAGAAAAGAATCATTTATGGATGATAGTATTGAAAATTATATTAAAGAACAATTATTCATTCATAAAAGACATATAGATAAATTAAAACAATGGATTGGACTAACAAAATACCGAATTATTTATAATACTGAAGTTGATGAATTCACAACATTAGCTTTTAATAAAAAAGTTGATGGAAGAAGTAATCTTGCATTTGTTGTACTTACTAGTGACAAATGGGTATTTGGCTGTTTCAGTCAAGCAAGAATTCCTAAAATAAAAGAAAAAGAAGAGTCTGCAGGACCTGAAGACAAAGGCTTTTTTATTTTTTCTTTGAAGAATCCTCATCATACAACAGCCACAAAAATTACACCAAAAGTTCAATCGTCCAGACTTGTTTTTTATCCAAAAAATTCAGTACAACTTTTTGGAGTTCAAAATGCATTTTTGATTTCTAACCATCCCAACGAATCATTTGTATTTAGGAATATAGACCAACACTATTCAATACCCTCATTAGTTGGAAAAGAATTATTAACAGGGAATTGTTATCCAGAAATATTTAACACTGAAAAAGTTTTAGTTATTGAATGGTTTTAATAAATTAAATTTTATAGTTTCAAAAATCCAAAAAGAACTTAGAAAAAGAAAATGTCAATACAAATTCAATCAACCAATGAATTTGAAAAGTTAAACAAGGCTATTCTTGAATCAAAAGAAAATTATGTACGCCAAGATTTTTTTGGAAAATCTTTTGATGAACTTCACAAAGAAGTTTGTCCTTACAGAGCAACAACAACAAATTTTCAAGGAGATGGGAAAGACATTACTATCCTCCATCCAACTGACTTATAGATTGGATTTTATTTCTTATTTCAAAATTAAAAAATAATATGATAATAGTTAAATAAAGGATTTGAATTATTTTTGTGTTATAATTTTAGAAAAATCTCTTATGTGTAAACTAACTAGTTTTGATAATCCAATTAAATCTACCAAATTAGCATTAAAACTGAACATGAATATTTTTTAGATGTTTAGTACCTTGTATGAATTTAAGTTGTTACCATTTCTAATAACCAAATTTCTAAAATTATTGGAATATGTTTATCTTTGTATTTATTTTCTATGAACTGTTTCTTTCTTTTTTTTCAAAGAAATGCTATATGAATGAATTAGTCCTAATTGTCATATTAATGGGAAAGAATTGTTTCCACCTTCAATAATAGTTAGTTACTTTAAGGTTATCTTATTTTTATACTCATTAGTCGAACTCAAGATGAATAATTAAATGTTATATTTCAAAAGTATAAAAATTAATATATAAACCAGAGCAAATTGTAACTTTTTTGGAAGGAAATAATTTCAAATACAATACTTCATTAGAGTCTAAAAATCCCCATATGTTTTTTTTTAATTCTTTATAATACACTTCAGGTATTTTATTTGGTTTATCTTTAAGTATTTGACAATAACTGAGAGAATATACTTTTTTTATCAATTATGTGTGAATTGAGAAAAGTAATTGAAACACCATCAACAATACTTATTTTTCTTATATGATTTGCTTCTATTAAAATATTTCAACTCTTCACTTTTAAGACATCCAACACTATCACATTTAAAGTATGATGGTATATTCATTTTTAATATAATATTTTTTAATATTTTTATATTCACTACATATAATATTCAGAGAATTACTTTTAATGTGACGTTTCATTGGAAATAATACTTTTAGTTTAACTAAGTAATAACAACTAAAAATAATTGTTTTTGTTTCTTTTGAAATGATTTGCACAGTACCAAATAAAGATATTTCATTTAAAAATGTTTTGATAACTTTATTGAATGAATATTTCCAATAATATTAAAGTATTTAATAGACATTGACATATTATATTACTATAAGAATATAAAATATTTAATTCAATGCATGCTTGATAAAAGAAAAAGATACATCAAAACCAATACTATGAGATTTAGTAATAGTAATTTGATTTAATTTAAAAGAATTAAAATTAATGTTATATTATTTTTTATGCAACAATAAATAATATTTTTGGTTATCAATTTTATTATTCATAGATGATAATAAACTGATTGTATTTTTAAATCCAAGTTTTTATATGAAATGGTATTGCTGTCTATTGATTATTCTTTTGAAGTATATGTTTTACAATGAGAAATTATTATACCATGAAAATAATGTTCAGCGTTCGATTTATTAACTCTTTTAATATATTATTATTATTCAACTCATACCAACTTAATTTAATAGAATTTGTATTTGTTATATCACTGACACATTTTAAAATGAAAATAATTAATGTACAACAACAAAAAATAATTTTGTTATTGTTGAAAGACTTGATATAAAAATTTTGTTGCTATAATTACTGTCACATTATTGATATTCATTAATACAATTTAAAGTATTATTTTCTTATATAATATTTGGTTGTGTTATAATTATTTTGATTTTCAGAGTTGATACTATTAAAAGTTTATGTTATTGTAAATAAATTATTAGAACTAATCAAGTTATTAATAAAAAACAAATCCTCTAATTTCAATATCATTTCCAATATATAACATTTTAATACAGCTCTCATAGTTCATTATTAAATTCATTATAATACTGTTTTATATTAATTGAAGGGTTTTATATATATATTTGATAATTTAATATTACTTAAATCATTGTATGAGAATAACTTAATTAATTCTTCATTATCTCTTTGAAAATTAACACAATCTACAAAAATAGTCTCGTTAAGATAGTCGATATTCTTACTCCAACAAATACTGAATTAATGGTAAAAAGTTTCTATAAAAAGTGTTTTATTAACTTAGGAAAGTAATTTTTACATTATGAATAGAATGTAATGAACTTATTAGTATTGATTTTCTATTTTAGAATGACTGTTACTTTTTTACTTTTAATAAAGAATTAAAACTTAGAAAATTTACAAGAAGAATATAATTTACTAATTTGATTAAAAAGTTTTTTCTTTCTAATTTAATTATTAAAAATCAATAACTACATGAAGAATTTCTATATGAATAAACATTTTAAACAGGTCAGATATAAAACTGTCTATTTTACTTTTTTTTATTTTTCAATTAAAGTAGATGATATTAGGTTATATAGACATTTAAGTCTTTTAATGAAGACATACATTTTTATTGATATCCATAAATTTAATAAACTGATTTTATCCTTATTGATAATATAACATTTATTAAATAAACTCTTTCAATACAACCTATTCTTTTGGTTTTGTTTTTATTATTTTTTGAGTTTGTTTTGAGTAGTTATGACTTACAAAAGAATAAAGCTTCATTCAATAAATAATAATTGTTATTAATTGAATTTAATTTTCTTTTTAATCATTTGTTCTTAAATAATAATTTAACATTCTATAAAACTACTTTTGGAAGAAGGATTTTTAATCTTATTGGAATTACATTGTATAATATAAGTTGAATTTTTCATTCTTTTAAATAATTTATCTTTACTTTAATAAAAATTTTTTATAGACATATATAATATTTGACTTGTTTTTGTTGTTTCTTGTGGTTGTCATTCTGGTTATAACACTCGTTCTACATTCACAAATAATCAAAAAAGTATATATAAAAGCCAAGATAACTCTCAAGAAGATATAACATTATTTTCTATTATACTTAAAAACTAGTTGTTCATGTAGTTATTGCACTGACCCAGAAAAAGAAAAGACTATAATGTGAAGAGGAATGAAATGAATAATTAAATAATGTTAGTTAAGAAGAGAAGAAAAATAATTAAAAAGCGTTATATAAAACATCAATTATATAAAAAGAACAATTAAAAAAATAAACCCTAAGAGAAAAAAAAAAAGAAACGTACATTTTATCAAATGGTTAAAGGACACGGTAAACATCAATCAAAGAGATTTGCTGGTAAAAAGGAGAAAGCACCAAAAATATCAAAATACATTACAAGAACACAAGCCATTAAACGATTGAATTGCACAATGGAACAGTTCAGAAAGATTTGTATTTTAAAGGGAGTATCACCAAGATTACCTAGTAAAGGACTAAATACATTAACACAAAAGAAAACGTATTACCACATTGATGATATTAAGCCATTAGTTAATGATAAAGTAACACTTAAAATTAAACAAATTCGTGCATTTAAAAAACATATTAGAAAATTAACAGCTCGAAAAGAATTTAAAACTAAAGAACAATTACTTAAAACTAAACCAGTTATTGATTTAGCATCAACTATTCAAGAACGATATCCAACATTCCAAGATGCATTAAATGAACTTGGAGATTGTTTGTCAATGGTATTTATGTTTGCATCATATAGAGTTTCAAAAGGAGAAAAAGCTGAAGCAGTAAGATTAGCAAGAAGAATTGC